TCATTTCTGTTATTAAAAAGCTGCTTAGGAAAATAAACAATGAAATATAATTATTAGAATAATTCGGTCCTTAAAATTGTAAAATGCACTAAAAGCCGAATCTAGATTTATTTTCTGTCTCCATTCATTCTACTGAGCCGAGAGTGGGAGCTCGGGGGCGGGGCTTAAGGGGTGCATGCTCTGTGAGCGCACATACGGGTTATTCTGCTCTGACAGCCAGGCATGATGGGTAATCTCTCTGACGTTTCGCTCTCTCAAAAGTTGGGCCATTTTGTCTTCATGCGCCAATGAGCAGCTCTCATAGGAACGAAGGAGACCCCGCCTCCGACGCTGTATCCAGTTCTTATTATACATCCATGGTGTGGACTGATAGGATGTGCTAGTTCCTAGGCACTGCCAAGTGGTCCTTGAGTTAGAAAATAAAGGACAGAATTTCCCCTCTGGGATTAAAAAAAAAAAAGATCTAAATCCTAAAAAATCTGGCGAATACCAGAAATAACACCAACACTTTAAGTGTAATTTTAGCAGTTCTTGACCCACATATGACTCCATTTAATAACCTGCGAACTATGAGTTAGCATGTTAGAGAGCCTTTGTTAACTGACTTTCAAAATCTATTTATGTCATCTTATTTTAGCTCTTTTCTGATGCACTGAATTACCAACAACTCATCTCTCCCAGGCAACTGCCTGTTGCTCTTGCTCCTCAGTGACTCTAACCTGTAACATCCGTAAACCTTAGTCTCTCCGATTTATCGCTTGGTCAATCGGCTCTAAATCGCATTTCAGCAATAACTTCACTTCATCGTTCTTCTCAAAAAGTTTGTAAAAGCAGTTATTTGAATGGGGTTAGCATTATATTTGAGGAAACATTGTGATTGTGAGAAATTGTTTGTCGTTTGAAGGCAGAATTTGCCTGCACGTTGTCTGAAGTGCCCTTCCTCTCCCTCTTCCCTATCCTTTAATTCCCTCTCCTTCTACCCCACTACCCTGTGTCTGTCCGTCTTTTTGTGCGCACTTGCACGTCCCAGGTCCGGACCCGAGACCTTGGCGGTTACGCCACCACTAGCGACTTTGTGCGTGTTGTTACGGAAAACCTGCGTCACCGACCTGTTCGATAAGATGTATCGTCACACTGCTTCCCTAAATCTGGACATTGTTCTTAACATGAAGTAGACGCATGTAAAGACTCACCTCCCCTCTGACATGACATAGTGTCTCTCAGTTTTTGACAAAAACCAGGAGCATCATACTGTACGAGGATTAAACTGTGTTTGCAACTCATGAGGCTTCCTCTCATGGATTTGGATCATTATATCTATATAATTATGTTCATGTTTACATTCTTCTGAGTTGTTTTGTCCTTGTGCTTGTTGCGTCAGCCATTTCAGCCTACCTCTCCACTATCATACATTGATAGAAACGGTCAACCCGGCTGCCTTTATCTACAGATTATATCGACTAATCTTTATTTTCGTCACACTTCACCACCGAATTACCTTAGTTTTATCACATTTTCTCCTAATATCCGCTGTGACCTGATATACAGAATGATAACCGTACTGCATCATGACCCACTTATACTGTAACATTTCTGACCCACAAATGTCTTCGTGTTTTCAATAAAACTCTGTTCTAACATTGCATTGCTGTAAACTAACATCTACATTTTGGTTTAGTAAGTTACTGTTAGGCCAGGCCAAACCCGTCATGTGTTTTACCTTAAGATTAATAATACAATTGCTATGTTAACATCAATTAAACAAAAAAGACAGTACTTTCAGGTACTACTTCATTGACTGTCAACAAACGTTTAGGTATTGTTAAAAAATTAGAGGTATTGTTATAATTGTACAGCTTAATAGCTAAAGAAAACCTCTGTGTGACGGCCACAGTGCCCGTAAAGCCAGTCCTGAATTCAAAATCAAATATAAAACAAAATATACTGAAGATTATTTGCTTAATTTAATTTTTTTGTTCTCAGTTTTATTTAAACATTATCTCCAAGGTCTCATAATAAACAAGTTTTGTATCAGATGGTTGATGCCAGTCAAGCTGTAAGACATTTAAACGCTGCTCTACCTCACCAGCGGTCCATGTTTTTGTCAAAATGTGCCAAGATTTCAAAACAATAAAAGATAACGTATTACTCACTGCACTCTTTACTTGAATTTGGGTGCACTCAAATGTTTCTACTTTTTGAATAATGTATACTACCACTAGTGTTAACAGCGTCGTCTTGTCCTTTTTTATTTTTGGTCTATTAAAATAAGTGTCCATGTTGTTTAATAATCCTTTAAGGAGATGTCATGCCTGCATATTAAAGCTTGTTAAAAGTGTGATTAAATAAAAAACACTTTTGGACCTTTAATGACATAACTGGTTGAATACTAATTAATAAGAATGGTTGCATGTTGGACCATGGACAACTGTTTCTGAACATTAATACTTCATCTGATTTAAAGATGTAATTTAAGTGACTGATATATGTAGATTCTTAGCCTCAATTAATGCTGCTAATGATAAAAATATGAGAAAATAATTAATCTCATGGGCGATACTGCTGATTTCTAAAAGCAGTCCTCTTGGGTGCCGTTTTTAAAGGCTCTCTAACAGGCAGGCGGTGATGCTGTATGTGGACATGTGTTTCTGCAGCTGTGCATATAGTAACAAAGTGTCTTTATGTTTGCAACAGGTGCGCACCGGGGACCTGGGGGGCTACGCCTCGAGCGACGAGTTCACCAGGGCTGTCATTGCTAACATGGCAGTGTAAAGCGCTGTGTTGGCAAATCTGTCAGCTGCTGAGACGCACACACGGCTTTTTATTTACATCCTGTTAAACTCCTCTTTTGGCTGATCTACGCACACAGTTTTTTCCAGGAACAGTTAACCCACATGTTCCATATTAAATACCGTGAAATGCAGGTGAAATGTGCAGCTATAACATCAAGAATCTGTATTTTGCGTGTAGCATATTAACCATGACATCTAATGCAAAATGTGGGATGAACTTTTTTTCTTTTACGCGCACAAATCATGTTCCTTATCCTTAATATACTGTTCTCTAGCAAGATGCTCTACTATTTTTCTTAATGGTTTTATGTCGGGACATTAACCAGTGGTCAACACATGGTGTACATTATTTATTTACTTCAGGTTTTAGCTCTATTGCTTCTTCATTTATGATGAGATATGAATAATAAAAGAGATATAACATCATGTGTGCAACATCTTTGCGTGAATGTCAATAAAAGGCTGATGTAGTTTAAGTTAGTCATGGTGGCTTGTGGCTCACTTAGCACGCAACATGAGGAGCCCATATCCAAGCCATATCTCTGTTTCCAAACATGCACGTCAGGTGGACTGCAGAATTTATAAAAATACTTGCTTTGTGAAGGCTGAAATATGATCCAGAGCTGTGAACAAAGGATTATGTGGAGATTAACCTGAACACAATGTTTGCACAGGGTTTCACTTTGTATATATAGTCTAGAGATGCAACTAATGATTATTCTTCATCATGGTTTGATTAATTAATAATTGGTTTGGATTTAATATTGCTTTTTTTGTCCAACAAGCAATCCAATACCCAAAGGTCTTCAGTTATATATGATAAAAGATTGAGATATTAACATGTACTACGGACTTACAAAATGTCTGTCATGGTAGTAAAACTTCCCCATTAAAATGATCTATTTTGATTGGCTTTTAAGGTAAAGGACCTCTCCTGTATGTAAATCAAGCCCCATTCACTATTGACGAAGTGTATTGAATTTTGATAAAACAATTACAAAAATATAACTGAATACATCTGTAAATGGTACTGTTAGTTACATAATAAAACATGTATTTAATTTCAAAGCTTAAATGTTATACCAAGCTCAATATAAATAACTAAAGCATAAAGATTAATATTAGATGTATCACTTCATTTTAATTATTAAACCAACAATATGTTTTATTAATGCGCTGTTATATTTTCAGTTGTCTGATAACCCTTTTTCTGAGTAACTTGGTCTTTATTTCTGAACCTGATAATTTTTGTTTGCAACAAACTTTATAAAAACCTTCAGCTGTCATCGTTTATTTTTAAATGTCACACATTGTTACTATGGACCACACTCCACTTTTAAAACAGGTCATGTCACTGTCCCTTTCTACTTTATCCATCCACCCAGTAGTACATATACTGTATTAATGAACATCAACATAAACATGTGTCAGATTCCAGAAGTACATTTACTCAAGTACTGTACTTGAGTACAATTTTGAAGTACTTGTACTTTACATGAGTATTTACATTTCATGCTTATTCGTGTATTATGACAATAATGTATTGTTACTTTTACTCAATTAAAGCATCTGAAAACATCTTCCACCACTGTCAGATTCAGAAAACAATAAAGACAATCTTATATTTAAAGGTCCCCTATTATACTGTTTTTCATCAATATATAATAGGCATAATATATAGGTCTCAGATATATACAAATGCAGATCATGCATTGTAGCATCCCATAAAACCCTCTGTTTCAAAAGTGCTGATTCTCTGTCTGTTACTTTAGATGAAAATAAGGAGCCACTCCCCACGCCCCTCTGAGAGATATTTGGTTAAAAATAACACAATGTTGCTCTAGGAGGAGATTCAGGTGATAAGGTGGGGGGGGGGGGTTACCTTGGTTGGTTATTGGCTAATGGTTACACAAGCCTAAAACACATTTCACAGGTTTATCTATAAATGGATCAGGACAAAAAGTGAGCGAATCTTTTTTCCTGACACTTTCAGAATCTCTTTACACAGAGGGACACATATTTATGTATAAAATACATGAAAAAGTGGATTTTGTATAATAGGTGACCTTTAAAGAAACAAAAAAATGTTTTTTTTTATTAGCCCTCTGCAGTGTCAGTGTGTGAGCTCCGGCCCGGCCAGCAGGGGGCGCTGCGGGCTGCGGGATCAGGAGCAGAAGAGACGGGGCTGGCCTGGGAATTTGCTGCTCGCTTCCCATTCTTCCTATGCAGACAGACACACAACATGGCGGACTAGAATAGTCGGCCGACGCGCCCGGATACAGCGGATAAACCGTGGGATTCAACACCCAGGAAGGCCAAGAAAGTAACACTCCGCAGGGACGAGAAGTTAGGTCGAATCGAGGACTTTTTTCGTGGGGCTGCCGTCCTTTCCAGGAGGATTTATCGGATAAACTGAGTGCGAAGTGTTGGCTGTGCGTCCCAGATCGTGCTCTGCTATCACCCAGGTCCCCCCACCCCGCTCACACTCTGGTTCCTGGGGTGTGGAGACAGGGGCCGGGGTTGAAAAAAACGTGGAAGAGAAAGAAAGGATACATTCCTACTTGGCTTTGCTGTTTTTTTTTTAACCCCCTCCTCGGGTTTCCTCTGGGCGCTACAGGAGTTGTGGTGAGTTTTCTTGTTTTGCAAAAAGCCCGAATCACACTTGTTACAATGTAGCTGTAGCAGCATGTTTCCTATAGCTGTAACAATTGTGTCACCCACAAACAAGCACTTTGTCCCCCGAGTTTAGCCTCACAGCAGGATACATTACATGATGCCTGTATCACAGTGGAGATAAACCTGCAGCTTAGGTAATGATTAGGGCTGTGTTTAATACTTGTAAACCTCTTTGTGACGCTTGAACATTTCAGAAGTAGCTTGGAGGCAGGGAGGGATTTTTTTCTTTTTTTTGGGCGAAGGGGGCTCTCAAGAAAAGGGGGCTTGGTGATCAGTGCGACAACATTAGAGAAGAACTCAGAGGTTGTTACTAGGCTTGAGCCAACACGGATGATGTTTGCGCTGGCAGTGGAACAAAGAGGGGGTCCAGGTTTGTCCTGCCTCACTGGAAAGTACACTTTATTGATCAACGCTTTGTTATTACACGTCCAGAGAGGGTGGGGAGCAGGCTGGTGGGTTTGGGAGCAGGAGGGGGGCTTCACAACAGGAATTAGGTCGGCCTAACATTAACATGTATGCTCTGTCAAATCACAGCGGCTGCTTTGTGTTTCTTCTTCTGCTGCACTCTGACATGGAGTCTCTCTCCCTCTGAAGAGTCTCCTCTCCCAAAGTTGTTTGTAATGATTAATGTTCTCCTCTCCTTCTGCATGTTGGGTGTAACCGAGCATACCATTACAATATTGTGGTAGGGTTTCTTTCTATTACATAGTTTTTACCTATTGGGCATCAGCTTTAACTTCATTTTAATGGCTTGGTTGTCATTGGAAATGATGACAATTAGGTCAATAAAGTAGGATGAATTCCTCATTGACTCCTTCATTTTGGCAGCTGAATCAACATTTAACTGTCAGAAATGAACACAGTGAAATAAAACTCTGCATTTAACCCATTCTAGTATGAAGAGGTTGGTGATTTCTTTTATATACACCTTGGGGAGTGGTGTTAGGATCTGTAGGCTTGCTCAAGGGCACTTCTGCAGTGTCCAGAAGGCAAACTGGCATCTCTCCCAGTACCGGTCCACACTCCCTACTTGGTTCCCAAGCCATGTCCCTATGGACTGAGCTGCCTGCCCTTTTGAGCCAAGTATCAACTACAAAAACGTTGCACCTGGAAAGAAGAAGTGTCAGAGCATCATCCATCTAGAGGAGGCATGGCAGAGCGTGGCTTGATGTTTCTGACAAAGGCTTTGCTATGTCTGCCTGGAGCTTGACTCATCACGTTTTGACCCATTCACCAAGCTGCAGCACATATCCACCAGCCCTCGTCTCTGTGCCTTTCCACAACACACTTTTCCACTTCAGCGAGGTGGCCGTGTCATGTTCAGGACCATCGAAGTGCAAAACTCAAGCTGCACCTCCTGCGAAACCTCAACGCCACCGCTCTCTGTGCACCAGCAGGCCTGCCTTGACCTCTGCTTGTCAGGCCTGGACACGTTTCCCAGAATACTGTTGAACCATCTCTGGTTGACGAACAGCCACAGCTCCAAAAAGTTGGATTGAGAGAAGAAAAAAGGCAGAGCTGTTATCACCCTGCTCGCTCTGTCCATATCTTCAGCCTATTTTAAGAGAAAGGAGTTATTTCTGTCTTGGGATCTGGAAAGTGTTTTAGCAGAGGAGCCCGAGTGATCCTAACGCCACACTTTCATGATCGGCCTAGTTTCTAAAAATAAGAATAGCTTGAAATGAAGTATAGTTTTGATGGGTGGGAGTTTTTTTGAAATTTCACAATTTCCCGAGTGCTGACGCAATATTATGAGTTGGCGTTTTGGGTGGGGCGGTAGAGACATATATTTTTGTTTCCACCTGTTGGCCGACGTATTTTCCCGTAGAAGAGCACTGTAATTCTGCCCCTAACAGGATCAACACAGCTGCATTTTAGAGGATTATGGAGCCTGATTTCAACTACATGTTATATGTCGTTTGGCCTCCATGACATCTATTTCACAATGCAGGAAATGAACCTGTTTGACGACTCGCCTCTCATAGAAAAATCGCAACTGATTCTGTCGACTTCATCATCAGTCACCCCGCTTTGTTCTTCCCAAAGTAGATGCGGAGTTGTAATTATGTAATCCCTTCAAACTACTCAGTAAACATTTGTTTTACATCCTCCTGACGTGGGATGATTGATGTTTCTGCTTTACCGTGGCTGTGATTGATATTCATAATACTTTATTTAATTTCCGTTTGCTTCAAAGACATGGTGGGATTTTAAATGTTTTAGATGTGAGGTTCTTGTGATCTGAAGCTCACATCTGATCCAGGTCCTTTAAACTCACGGCTCTTGCCATTTTATTTTAGTGGGAGGGGGGGGGCTTCTCTGCCACAAGGATATGGGATAATGGCCCTAAGTAATGGATGTGTGGCTTTGGCTGAAATACAAGCAGGAGTTATGAACAAAATGACACTTTCAATCACATCATGTTTTTGTATTTCAATCAGTTTTTCCACCCAGAGAAAAATATTGATGCACTTTTTAAAACAGTGCCTTATTGGCCGAGGTCAAATCCAGGTCACGTTCAAAACCAGTTGAGAGGCAAAGTTATAAATATTTAGATTTGCCCTTGGCATCGTCCTTCTTGCCCCACTGTGGGGTAGAGCGTGTTGCAATCCTACAGAGTCTTTGAACGCACCAGCTAAAGACGGGCGTGGAGGATTTTGGAGACGCGTTATCACGACAGTTGCCTCTTCATCTTGGATGGGCTTCTTCTTATCTTCCAGAGGAAGAGGGGGGACTGGGTGGTCACTTCTGATATGAGAACCTTGACTTTGGGTTCCCATTGTTACAGGACCTAAATGAATCAAGTAAAGATATAAACTGTGGCAGGGGAATGAACCTAATCGACCTAATATATAATGCTGCTTTCACTCACATATTCTGCCTTTTGCTTACTTTTCATACTTTTATAAGTTTGACATTTTATATGAACGAATCTCAGCACTACCCAACAGCTTATTCAAACATAAAGGAATGAAATACCCATCAGCCAACTGCTACTTACGGATGAATACATCGGTAATCATCATATGTAATAATATCAATGACATACATAAAGCCCTCTGCAAAGACTGCAACAGCGCCCTCAGGATATGTTTGATTTTGAACTGCATTAAAATACAATTTAGCTATCACCTTTTTACTGGTGCATTTTCTGTATGGTTCAATACACAATATACATTACAATAAACGATTGCTGAGAATAATTTTTAAACTCTTTTTTCCATCAATTGAATAAGCAATTGTAATTTGACAGAAAGCAGCAGAACTAAGTACACTTTAATATAACTCAGCTATTGTGACATTCAACAGAGTTTACACGTATCTCCTTTCTACCGGGCAGCCCCAAATCAGAGCTTTATTAGAGTTTAGTTATGCTACTATTAAGGATATTCACACTCCCTTTGAATGAAGCTTTAGTAGTTGTTTACATTTCATTAGACACACTTTGTAATTGTTAAAGGTGGAATAAACACCAGCAGTTCTACTAAGCACTCAAAGTCTAAAAGTGTCAGAATAAAAGTGTAATTAATACATCTCTGGGTATTTGACCAGGACACTAAAACACTCTGGTCAGTACCACCGGTTTGATAGCAAGCCTTATCTGCATGCTGGATGTAGAACTCAGTTTTGTTGCTAATGTTTCTTAAAGCAGAAGTGAATCAGGTTTTGTCGTGGCTCTTGAGATGCCCGTTTGGCCTCACACCACGCTTCAAGGTCACAGTGGCTTCTGTGGGCAGGCCATGCTTTGCGCCTCCACATCCTCTGTGTCCAATGTGGGAAAGCTTGAGAGGCCCCTGGCATGCTCCGTGAGAAACCCCACAACGGAGCAGCAGATGCAGGGCTTCACTGACTCACCACTTTCACTCTCTGAAACAAGTGAGTTTTCTTCATCCCTCCAGCCTGATGGAACCGAATCATCATTACAGGCTTAATAACAGACACAGCGGTCACTCTCGCCTCTGTGATGTAGCCAGAATAGTAATCCCCGGCTTCTCTCCGTCTTTTCATCAACTCACCAGCCCGTGAATGAAGCCAACAGGAACACAAACCACAGCAGCGGGGAGCAGTATCCCTCAGAAAGGGAAGTCCAGAGGATTGTGGCTGTTGTATGTGGCACCGGGGACGTATAATCTGTGGTCTGTTTCGGGGCAGGAGTCCTCACGGCCCTGGGTTAGGCCTACTTCAGTCTCCCCGTGAAGAGAAGCATTCACAGTATTCCTGTTGCCCCATGCCCCCTCCCTTCTCAAGACATAGAAACAGTATTAATATGCCATGAATGGAGACAGACAGACAGGCAAGCATTATCTAGCGCTGCAGCAGCTAGAGAAGCAGGATGCCTTGTAGAAAGCCAGAGGGAAATAGTTCTCTGCATGAATGTTGAAGTCCCCTTGACCACCGCCGCTGGTGTCATGTCAGCAAGACTTGTAGGGTTTGTGTGTTGGTTTTCCAGCTCACCCATTTGCCTAGGGGAGGCATCCTCTTTGAATTATTAATAAGATGTGTTGATTCTTAAGAAAAAACGCTTCCTGCAGTGGAAGTACGGTTACATTGGGATCTAGATAAAACGACACATTATGAACCGAGGAAACGGCTGTTAAGGACTCTCAGGATAAAGTATTTTCTTCCCCTGAGAGATCCCCTTTTGTGCAATCTGTCTTCATTTTGAGCTATTCATTGATTCATGTCCGCGCAGTCGGAGAAGATACTCATTACCTCACCTCGGGTCACAGGTAAATATAAAACCATCGGTGAAATCCACAGACTTGAGTGGGAACTCTCCATATTAAATGACTACCTTGCATTGATCTAATGTCTTGGCCTTTGGTTGTCATGGAGATGTAATTGGACTTCCTTTATATTCTACCTATAAGTGTTCCTTTCACTGTGTGAATGAAATGGCATGGGAACAGCCCAGCCCTTTCAGCACCGTGTGATTGCACTCGTATGAG